CTTTCGACCTGAAACTCGGAGTTGAGCATTTATTGTAAGATATTATGTATATTTCTTAATATATATATTAAATAGCTCTGTTACTTAACATTGAACACTGTTTTTTCTTACACTATAGAGTATTTATATGTATTTGTATACGATCGTTTGCTCATATACCTACCTATATTTACCCATTCGGTTTTATATATATAATGTCATTTGCAGACAGTACTGTCCTGCTGTATCACAGCTTCTCAGTGTGACTAGACGTCTGAAAGCCTCAAACCCAACCGATTTGGTTTCAGTCGGCGTTTCTACCCCTAAACCATCAGCACTCGGCAGAGAGAAACTGCTAATTCTAGCATATTGTTTTTATGAATGTAAACAAATGCCAGTCAGCCAGAGTGCTCATATTCATTTTACCAAAGAGCTTTGCATTTTAGCGTAAGCGACTGCTGTTTGTAAAATTAGGCTGTCTCTTGAGAGTGCTCAATTGAAATATATTATCAAGAGCTTAATTATGTCATTCACAAATAGTACTGTTTCGCAGTATCACAGCTCAGTGTGACTAGGCATCTGAAAGCCTTGATTTTTGTGACCCTGATGAAATAAATATAACCTCATGAAATTTTAGTGTTTGTGCCTTTTATAATAATAATTATTGCTCTGGCATAGAGCTCTCCCGGGATTTATATCCTTTTGGAAATATCCATACTGATCACTAAGATATATATATATATATATATATATATATATATATATATATATATATATATATATATAGTGATATTTATATTTTAATCTCATATATATATATAAGATAGCCATAATAAAGAAATAACCTCCAAATAGAAATAGGATATTGTAAAGTTATCAAGAGATGGAAACACAATGTTGGAGATTGAAAAAGTTTAACAAAGATCTCGGAAGAATCAAAAAAAGGAAATTGAAAACTTTGGTAAAATAAGAATTAAAAAAAAAATGGCTTTATTAAAGTTACAAAAAAATTCCAAAATTCAAGAGAAATAAGCAAGAAAATATCTGAAGTACCCAGTGTTGTGAATGAAAACTCTCGGATTTATGCACACACACACACACACACACACACACACATATATATATATATATATAGGATATTGTAAAGTTATCAAGAGATGGAAACACAATGTTGGGGGATTGAAAAAGTTGACCAAAGATCTCAGAGGAATCAAAAAAAGAAATTAAAAAAAAAAAAAATGGCTGTATTAAAGCCACAAAAAGAAATATGAAAAAATTCAAGAGTCATAAGCAAGAAAATATCTGAAGTAGCTGGTGTTGTGAATGAAAATGGAGAGAAAAGATGTAGAATATTAAGAACATTGGCTAATGGCATAAAAGCCAGTAATATGAAGTAAATATTAAAGTTGAAAAAGTAGAAAAATTAAAATCAGTGGTTGGAAGATTGATCATGGTTATAGAATGTTAAGGAGGCTATATTAACTTATGAAATAATAAAATATGAATTTAGTCAGGTCTGTGGGATATTGCGTTAATCAAATGTTTCTCTGGTGTTGGATTTTTATTTATAAATAAAAATTTATGCACTTTTTAGAATAAGACCTGATACCTTCAAAGCAAATTATTATCATTGTTTTTAATAAGGAATTTTTAATACTAAATTTCACTGGCTACAAGGCTCGAGAATAACTCAAAGTAGAGGGTTACAGTTAACAAAATGTCAATGCTAAATGATGAGTGATATGAATGGAATAAAAGATGGTAGGAAATGAACATTATTAGGATAAGGAGGAAAGATGACAATTGAGCCTTAATTTGAAGAGGTCAGAATTGAAGTGTTCAGTGAAGCAGCCACTGAGGAGCCTGTTCCATAAAGTGGCAATTCTTTGGCATGGAGAGAAAAAGCTGCCTGATTTGCATAATAAAATCTGATATAGAGTTGTAGCTTGAACAATAGCAAGATCATGGGATAGTTTGATTTTTGAATTCTATCCACAGATAATAACAAAAATTATGTTATTGTGTAGGCGTGGCACTACAATATTGCTTATCTCCAAAACTCTGAGTTAGTAAAAGATGAGTTGAACATTTAATTTTATTTGATGCATAGATATATATTTAGTTTTGAATGTTTTTTTAGAAGATATTTGTATTTATTTATTTTTTCACTGGAAATTTTAGCAATAATTTACTTTATTTTAGTTCAGAGAATTCTTGTAAAAGTGTTGAGTTTTTAAAAAAAATTTTTAAGATTTTTAAAAATTAGTCAACTTTAAAATAAGTTTAGTTTTTGGTGCCCTTTCAATACTTTTTTCTTGCCTTTAATATATTTATTAAATTTTAAACTTGTTTTTTAAAAGTAATCAGGCAATATGGAGAATCTAGTCTTTCTGTCATTTGTTCATGAGTTTGTTGAATTTGATTAGCTTTTTCATACAAGAAATACTTCAAAAGTAATGTCTCCTATTTCTACAGAAACAACAGATATAAGAGCAAATTTTATCCTCCCCCCCCAAGCCCCAACTTTTTTCCACATTGTCATTGGTTATACATTTTTATTGACTATAAACAAGTGCACCAATAAAAACAACCCATTTTTTTTTCATAACAGGCAATGTATTATCCATTGTCTGTCTGTGCTTACATCCACTGTTTGATCTACATAAACATTTTTCCAGAGTACTGTACTTTAACAAAACAAAAAAGATTATGGATTATTGGCAGGAAGGTTAAATCTCTGCAACCACTGATATAAAAATCCAATTTAATAAAATAGGAGGCATTAATTTTGGTGCAGCCATCTTATATGAGGCTTTTTTACCTTTTACATTGATATATTACTTTCTTTTATACAGATTCCAAAGGGATTTCCCTACTTTAGTGTCAACTTTGGACTGGATGGAGGATTTGCACATGCTATTGAAGATGAAAAGAAATTTTCTTTTTACTTTGGAAAGGTTTGATATTTTCTTTTCATCTAATGTCAAATTTAATTTTAAAGTCATGATAAACTAATATCAAAATCTTGATATACAAAAATATTTTTAGCATTTACCTATACAAAAAATATATTTTTAGCATTTCTCTAAACTAAAAATATTGTGAGCGCTTCCATGTAGTAAAAATATTGTCAGCATTCCCATGTATTAAAAGTATTGTGTGCTTTCCCACGTACTATAAATGTCGCCAGCACTTCTGCATGCTAAAGATGTTGCCGGCACTTCCATGTGCTAAAGATGTGGAATATCAACATTTTGATTATATCATTATGAGTGAACTCCTTTGTATAAGATTGACTTTTTTTTTTTTGTTGTTGTTTACTGAATACAATGTCCAGGAGCCACTCAAGGCAGAAGGTTACTGAATGAGGTTGTTGAAAGTAGACAACACCTGACCTAAATCTTGAGGTTAAGATTGTATTGATTGGGGAAGCATCCTTTTCGAAGTCTGTTCCACAAAGTAGCAGTTCCTGGGAAGAAGCTGTCTGATTAGAACTTCCATTTTTCTGACATAAACAAATTCTGATACGAAGACTACTTGTGAAGTCCAGCACCAAGCTAAAAGAAAATCATCTTATGCCAAAAGGGGCACATGTTGAGTTAGGTCTTTTTAAAAACCGTTTTTCTTATTCCACAAAAAATGTACTCGTGCCCTTTGACCATAACACCTGAAAATCTGTAAAATTCTTAATGACTGTTTTTTGGGGAAAATTAGTTGGAATTGTGTCTCGCTGATTTCTCCACAGTTCTGGATTCAGAATTGTCTATCTTCTAATGCTAGAGAGTGCCGTCTACCCTGCTATTTTTAGCCATAGCCATGGGGAGGAGAGATGAATTCTTTCTTGAATTCCATTTTCTGTACAAAAGACAAAAACAAAAAAGAATGTTACATTTTGCCATGCATTCAAGTGAACTATTTGTGCAAAAGGATTTTATCACTTTTTAGCTTGGTTACCATAAGCTTTTGTGGTCTTTATTTACATAACTGGTATGAATATAATCACTAACCAGCTGATTGGGAAAAAAACAAACTTTCTTTCAACCGTAAAACATGAGCATATGTTGTTAAAACTTGACAGTGACCTATTTTCTGAACAAAATGATTACATAAAAATGGTGTTGATGTAAAGAAGTTGTTTGTTGTGCTTGTCATTTTGCCATTGCTGGCTGGGAATATGTCTTATGCTGTATTACTTGGAACAAAGGCTTTGACAAAAGATAAAGAAAAGTACATCAACTGTGGGAAATTTAGTGACTGACTTATCTACATAACTTCTTTTTTTATTTCTTGGCTGTATAAATCCATTCACCTACATGAATTCTTTTTTATTTCTTGGCTGTATAAATCCATTCACCTACATGAATTCTTTTTTATTTCTTGGCTGTATAAATCCATTCACCTACATGAATTCTTTTTTATTTCTTGGCTGTATAAATCCATTCACCTACATGAATTCTTTTTTATTTCTTGGCTGTATAAATACATTCACCTACATGAATTCTTTTTTATTTCTTGGCTGTATAAATCCATTCACCTACATGAATTCTTTTTTATTTCTTGGCTGTATAAATCCATTCACCTACATGAATTCTTTTTTATTTCTTGGCTGTATAAATCCATTCACCTACATGAATTCTTTTTTATTTCTTGACTGTATAAATCCATTTATCTAAATTTTTTCTACTTGTTGACTGTATGAATCCATTTAATTCTTTTTTTATTGGTTAACTATAAATCTATCTAAATTCTTTTTATATTTGAGTGTCTAATATCAGTTTGTCTTTTTTTTTGTTTGTTTTTTCCTTGAAATTAAATTTTATGTAGGTCAATTTATTTTTTGCAGCGATATAAAATTTTATTAAAATGATAGAAACTTGACATGTTAAAACAAGCAGAAAAATGAATAACTGAAAAGAGGTTGTAACAAAGAAATAACCCTACCATAAAATTGTAATATAAAAGTAGAACATGGTTAACAAAAAAGACCAGCTAAACCAGTTTATCAGACCCCTCTATCATCAGTTATATAAAAACAAAATCTAATACATATAGATTATCTTTAACCATTTTGTTGCAGAAAGTGGATATATCCACTCAAAATGTTATTACTGTTAACTGCGGAAAGCAGATTTTTCAATAAACAATGCAAATTTAAAACATTTTGTCTTATAATTTGTGCCAAGCAGTATTATGGTGTTTATATACACTTTTATTTATTTTTTGTTTTTTATTATGATCCAAGAAATCATTGAGTAGCCTTTTTTGTAATCTTTTACAATTTTTTTTTTTTTTTACACAGTTTCTACTTATTGAATACAGTACAAAAAATACATGTTTTGCTTGTGGTGATTCATAATTAGAATTGTAGTTTGGATATATTTTCCATTCAATGTATCTAACAAAAAATATCTTAATCTTATTTGTATTTATTCTTGAAATAGTAAAATTTAAAGTTAGTTTGTAAGCAAAAACCTGTGGAAATTAGGTGTTTCTGTACATTTATTTCAGATCTTTAAAAGTAAAGTGCTCAAAAATTGGTGAAAGTTACTAATGTAATTTTTGGTGACAGTGTTAATTAAAAAAAAAAAAAAAATAGGGGAAAAATTAACCTGCCTTAGTGCACATGGCATAGGCCAAAAATTGCTCAATCCCTGCAACTAACATCATGCAAGTGTTGATATTTCAACAACCTTCTCTCTTTGGTGCAATCAGAAAAGGGTTGGAATCTTCAGGACCAGACATCTCTCGATGATTTTAAACATTTTTTTTTGTGTGTGTTTTGTCTGAAGACAGAAATACAATTGAGAGATAAAATTTAGTCTGTTTACTTGAAGGCAGATGCTACACTTTGAACCCAGGACTGATGGCAAGAGAGTGAAGAAAAAAGTGTTGACTCCAAAAGCACTGGCTGTTTAGTTAATGAATATCAAATGTTTCCTTATAAGGTTACAGCTAATCTCCCCGTTAGCATGCAGACAGAATAATAATATAATGTGGTGAAGCTATGAAAAGGCATTAGCCTAACCAAGACAAAATTTCCCTCAAAATGCTGATATTTATCAGCATTTTGGGGAGTCAGCACCCCTCTCGTATGTTATTTTTTTAAAATTGTTTTTAATGCCTCAGTTTGTCTTAATTTTTTTGTTGTCATTTGATTTTTTCTCCTTTTCTTTTTTTTTACTCCCCCAGGAAATTATTGGTGGTCTTATTGATGCAGATCACAGTTTGTTTCGCAGGCCACAAAAAGAACAGTTTGAAGTTCAACGTCAAAAAGTCTTAAAATTTGCCAAAATGTGGAAGTCATATGATTTTACCCAAAATGAATAAAAAAGAAGATTGCAAGAGTCTTCAGGTGATCAGGTGTACTTCAGCTGTAGCCATGGTGGGTGTGTCTTGTGCAAAATAACCTGACACAGCCTTTCCATCTTCAGGCTAAACGTGTTAAATAAAAACTATTTTCTTATGATTTCAATGAAACTCATTTCTGTTGTTTGCTATCATACAAAATTCAGTTGAATCTTTTTATATATATATATATATATATATATATATATATATATATATATGAAGAAATATAGTCTTAAGGTGTGCTATATTTATGGGATAAAGTGCTCAATATCAGAGATAGAGCGTGTGTAAATATAAAAGTGAACATAGAAATCAACACTTAGAGGCGACAATCTGTTTCATGCTAGCGACAGTCTGTTTCATGCAATCGTCAGGCCATGTTCTGCTGCCGAGAAAAATAACAACACACGTGGCCTGACGATTGCATATAGCATGAAAAAGACTGTCACCTCTAAGTCTTGACTTCTATGTTCACTTTTTTATATATATATATATATATATATATATATATATATATATATATATATATATATATATATATATATAACCATTACATTTCTCTACCAAGGATGGAAGTGTAATATGTTTCATCTCTGATCTTTTGTGTTGGAATCCTATGAAATGTGAAGGGATTTGGGAAACAGGAGAGAGAAGAAGGAAAGATAGGTGAGAAAGGAGGCGGGGGAAAAGAGGATGTGAAGGTAGGAGGTGAGAAAGGAAAAAGTTTGAGGAGGAGGTAAGGCAGGAGTTAAAAATGAGAAAGAGAAAAGGTGAAGTAGGATGTAATAGAGAAAGGAGGAGAAAAAGAAGGTGAACGATGGGAATGTAGGAAGGGGAAGAAGAGGGTGTGAAGGATGGAAAGAAAAGGAGGAGAGAAAGTCGGGTGGGTGGGGAAAAAGGGTGAATATTGGAGTTAAGAAAGTGAAAAGAAAGAAGTAAACCTTTATAGTGAGGAAAGAGATGGAGAATGGTTGGATATCAAAAGACTGAATGAAAGATGGAAAGGCAAGTTGGGATGGAAAAGCATCTAAATTATGATACATAAGAACACTTTAGGGAGTCAGTCAGTTATGTGCTATGTGTGATACATGCTTAGGCAATCATATATCTTTTGATACATGATTGACGAGGCAGATTTTTTTTCCCACAGTAGGTTGCCATTTCTTTCTGCGGTAGACCACTTGCTATCCAAGGCTATAGAACCAGGTCTGTCCTGCTATTTACCCATAGCTGGGGGGAGAAGAAAAATGACTACATTATTTAGTTCTTCCAGTTCTTACCATCACAGTTAAAACTGGCCATACCACTCACATTGTAGTGAACCATCCTTATTCCCTTTGTATTCCATTGGTGAGGTTATACATGAGCAACTTCCTTCTCATGAACCACTGCTCTGTGGAACTGACTCCCAAGAGGATGCTTCCCTGATCACTACAATCTTAACCTGTTCAAGTCTAGGGTTAACTGTTATCTACCCCACATAATCTATTATAAATCATAATCTCTGTAACCCTCTATCTTGAGTGGCTCCTGAGCCTTGTACAGAGTGAACATCATTGTGAAAAAAAATATTTCGAGGAAACTATCCAAATATTTCTCCAAATTTCTGGGATTAAGAGTTATTTGAATTATTTACAATCGGACAAACATCCTCATCTTTGTTGTTGTTATCAATATTTCAGCCATTATGTTCTCTAGTTTTCTTCTCTTATAGAGTTTGATATTTCCCTATGGATTACCCAGATCAACAGATGCATAAAGAAGGGTAGCGGGTACAATAGCCAAAATGTTGTGATGATAATAACAACAAAGATGAGGATATTAGTCTGCTTATAAAAAGTGTAAATAAAATATTAAGATTTTTAAAAAAATTATTTAGAATAACGAAGCATAATCAGCCATTTTAAATTTTTTATTTTTAATTCAACTTTGAACTTGATTTTGTCTTTTCTGGAAGCATTTGAGATGGTCACAATCATAAACATATGCACCTCTACTAACAGTATTTACATTAGTCAGACTATTGTCCTCATCTTTGTTGCCATATTTGTCACAACGTTTCGGCCGTTGTACGCTCCGCCTTCTTCAGGTGGTTGGAATTTCGAACTGAACCCTTTATTTCGATCACTGGGGTAGACTGTTCTAGTTCCATGTGCCATGTTTGATGGATGTCAGTTATCAGTTATCTCCTGCCAATTTTCCCTCTGAAAGCTCTCCACTGCCTTAACCAGGTATTGAACTCACCTTCTTTGGGTCTGTCACTGGATCTAACCAACGCCTTTATCCGCTGTGCCATGTGTCCTTGAGGACAATGGCCGAAACGTTGTGACTAATATGGCGACAAAGATGAGGACAATAGTCCGACTAATGTAAATACTGTACATAATACCTCATCTCAGAAATATAGACACGTACCTCTACTAATTTGCTGAAAAATGGTATATGATGATGAAAAAAGCGTTTGTTATTATTGAGTGGAAAGACCAAAGTATTTTTTTGTTATTTTATTAAATTTTTTAATCCTTTCTGTTGTGGACCCAGAATAGGTCCGAAAGAAAACTCAAACTCAGCAAGTTAGTGAAACATATTATTAAACAAAAAGAACGAATACAAAAATATTGCACGTCTGACTGACGGCAAAGTACAGCAGCCAACTCGTCAACTGTAGCCAGCTCCTCTCGAGAGGCATAATCTCCCTGTATATATAGTAATAGGACGAGTCCATTTAGTCCATAAAGGTAGGTCCCATAACACTTTCCAGCACATTTGAAATTTTGGTTAAAAATTTTTTTTTTTTCTTGTGTCAGCAGCCAAATATGAGTATAGGAAATTTTAGCAACTTGTTTTGCAGTAAAAAAACACATAGATTTGAAAATTCTTGCAAAAATGATCATTACTTCTGTAAGAATTTCCAAATCAATGTGTTTTTTACTGCAAAAAAGATGCTAAAATTTCTTATGCTCATATTTGGCTAATCTAAGAATTTTTTTTTTTTTAAAATCTGTTACCCCAATTACTTAATTTTATGAAATTTCAAGAAATTAAAATTCCACCATTTTCATATTTATATTAGTTAAACGTAGGACTCCCTGAAAAATTTAAATCATCAATTTTTTTTTTTTTTTTTTTTTTTTGTAATACATAAACACCGTTTACAGAAAATCTTCTCTGAATTATAAAATAAAAAATGCAATAAAACTATGACATTATTTAATTAGAAAAGCTTTTAATTGCGGTAACTTGGAACACTTGCGGGATAAAGACACTTTCATTATTAATTCCAGAGTTGTTATTGAAAATGGTCTGAATGTTCTTGTACAGGATGTGGTACCCTAGAACACAAACTGGATAAAGATACTTTCATTATTCATTCCAGAATCCTTAGTGAAATTGGTCTGAATGTTCTTGTACAAGATGTGTTACCCTGGAATGCATGTCAGGTAAGGACACTCATTATTAATTGCTGAGTCCTTAATACCAAAACTAAAATTAGGTTTTTCTGCAGGATGTAGTTACCTGGAACACATGCTGGGTAAAGACACTTTCATTATTAATTCCAGATTTATTATTTTCACTGTTCTGTAGGTTCTTATACAGGATGAGGTACTCTGAAACCCTTTCTGGGTAAAGAAACTTTTATTATTATTTCTATTCATATTGCTATTAATCTGTAGGATCTCATACAGAATGCGATATCCTGGGACACTTGCCAGGTACAGACACTTTTATTATTTATTCAAGAGTCCTTATTACCATTGGACTGTATGTCCTTGTACAGGATGTAGTACCCTTGTACAATTTCTGGGTAAAGACACTTTCATTATTATTTTCAGAGTTCTTATTGCCATTGGTCTGTAGGTTCTTGTAAGTCTTTATGTTTTAAAAAGAAATCAAGCGATAACTGGAAAAGGATTATTTTTTTTTAAATTGTAGAAAGACTTTGCATAGAGCTGCTCTCGTTCTCTGAACTCTGATTACATGAGAAGAACTACATTAAAAAAAAGAGAAAAAGAACTAGTTTGCATCATTGGAATGATATCAGTTTTTCTTTTAGAGAGATGTCATAACAAACACCAAGGGTCTCTCACTTCCAATACACTTACAGCATGTCTAGAGAAATGCATACATTATACAAAGGGTTACTAAAATGTTTTTCTGACCAAAAATAACAGAACTCTAGAAGTTTTTTTTTTAATTCTGAAGAGAAGCGTTGTAATGTTAATATCATATTGCAATAAAACCTAATAAGGCCAGTGTAGAAATAAGTGAAAATTATTTATCCCATGATAAATAAGTGGTAGATATTTTGATAAGAAAAGTTTGTGTTAGTAAATTAAAAACAGTAAGTCTGGGCCTAGTTATTATCCAAGGAAAAATACAATTGTTGGCCTTTGCTTATGGCAGCAATTGGCCTTAATCTTGTCTTGCAGACAAGATTTTGATTAATTAAATTTGGAAAATAAAAGAAAAAGAGATATTTTAATTTTAAGAGATTGTGTTAATAAATTAAAATTCTGAGCCTAGTTGTTATCCAAGGAAAGAATAATTGTTGGTGTTTGCTAATGGCATCAATAAAGATTCATCCAATCATAGTGAGGATAACATCATTAAAAAGTAACTGTTTCTAAAACATGAAAACTCTTTGATCCATTGTGTCTATCAATTTTTTATGTTACATATTGCTTTCCAATTAAATGTTACTATTATTATAGACTGATTCTTTTGTGTTGACTTCCTCATCTTTGTTTTTTATATCAACATTTTGACTGGTGGGCATTATTATCAAATACTGATTAATTTGGATCAGTTTCCTTGCCTTTGATTTTTGTATTGCATTGTTTCTGCTGCTATATATTTCAGTTTACCTGGGATGTCTGTTGTAATTGTCAACCTTCAGGAGTTTTCAACAGAACCTCTTATTGAACCTACATATGTGCAGCTTGGAATGAGAAATCATAAAGTAGAGTTTGAATTCCAGTTGAGTTCTTTACATTCATTTATGAGCAAATACCCTTAGTTATCTATGTCTTCTCCACCCCCAGCTATAGGCTAAAATACTGGGATCTCTATCCATGCTTAGCAATCAGTCTGGGAGAAGGACAACTCTGAATTCAAATATGGGACAACATAGAGTAACACTTAGTGTTTCCTAATATATATACAATTTAAACCCCTAAAAGCTTACTGAACTGTTATGTAATATCACTCCTACTGTATGGCAGTGGATGCTGGATAATCTCTTCACAGATGAAGAGAAGATGAAGTGGCAGAATTGTGGTTCTACAAGAGGATGCCATGGACTGAACATGTGAACAATGACAAAGTTCTAGAGAAAATGGAAACAGGAAGGAAACTTATACTTAACATCAGGAAGAGGCCATTGAAATTTCTAGGGCACATCATGAGGAAAGAGGGATTGGAAAATTTGATACTCACAGGACAGATTGAAGGCAAAGGACGCATAACTTAGGATTAGAGGAAATGGATGGTGGAATAAGGTTTTGGAGAGATAACAAAAAGACAACATTCACTAAAAGTTACAATGGACAGGAAATTTTGGAGAGCCATGATCGCTTACATCTTGAAAGGATAGCACATAGAAGGAAAAACAGCACTATGGTGTGTCCATGATGGATGATCTCAGGAGTTTGATCTGTGGGTGTATTTTATTTAATAATTCTTGTCATGCCCAGTGTCCTTCATATTCAATTTCAGAACTCATAATCGATGAGAAAATACGTTCATATTAATGTATAACATGAACAATATCTAATTTTGGAAATAGCAACAAAAATTAGCAAATGTTGTTTCTCCAAAGTTTGTTTGTCAGAATGTTTCTGGGTAGAAAAGTAATAAAAATTAACTAATATTTGACTAGCAAGTTACAGCATTTGGAGCAAATCCATTGAAGCGGAGTTGGGAGAAGCCCCATTTGATTGTTATGTACTTTCCATTGCAAGATGCTAATATGTATTCTAGCATCTCTGCTTGTATGTAATCGGATCTTGCACCTCACAGAGGCTTAATAAAAAAACGAAACTGCTTTAATCATTACACGTTCCAAATTCTTAAGTTTCTTCACAGCAGTCAATAATTACTAATTAAATAAGTAATTTATTATTGCAAGAACCGAAAAACGGAACGTAGTTTAAATGTGTAGTGGTGCTGTAAGTATTGTTGGCTAGGGTCACCGTGAATATAATAAAGAAGGAAGACTGTGTTCTTGTAAAACAACACCCCCACATGAATAATGTACAACAAACACGAGAGAAAAATAATCAATCTCAATGAACATTAATAATATATTGTATTAACAATGATATACAAATATCAGCAATAGTATAAAAAAAGTTGTTCCCTTTTTTCCGTAATAAAAAAGGGTAAATTTAGCTAATAAATGTTAAGTACAAAATTGACTGTAATTTAAATACAAGGTTCAATTGAAGTCTTAGCTAAATAAAGAATAGTTCCAGTGTTTTACCAGTGTAGAAAAAATATAATGTTCATGAGTGATATTAATAGGAATCAGTATGATTACTTGGTTGAAAGATAATTAAAAATTAAAATGTCAATATAGCGCCGTGCCTTGCTTTCCAAGAGTTGAACTGCTACTGCCTGTGTTGGCAAACAGTGAGAGTTTATATAGCAAGCTTTAGGCTCAAGATGGCTTTACCGGAAAAATAGAGAAAGATATTAAAATACGTGATTGGTCAGGAAATGGACCAATCCGTGATTTTAGAGAAAATTTTGAATTACCTGCGATGGTTAAATTGTCCTATGATAAGTATCATGTATTTACTATCCAATAAGAATAAAGAAAACGGAGGTTTGGCACATGTAAGTGATTCCCACAAATGCATGTCTTAGCAAGTCTTAATTTTTTGAAAGCTTTATTTTAATCAACTAGTTTAAAAATAAACAGAAATAGGATTTATTTAGGCATACGTTAAAATTGAAATTTGTATTTAGATTTTGTTAACTAAATTTTATAAAAAAATATTAGAAAGTAAAGAAAATATCTGAAAATGAAACATTGATTCTGTGTTGAACGCAGCCAAAAAGCCAAGTTAATCAAACGTAGAGATTGTTTACTACTAATTGTTTTGATTGTCGATATACAACAAACTGTATATGGAATGTACGATGCCCTAATGAGAAAGACTGTTCGTAAAGGAACAACTATTAGGATAATAAAAAATGGAAGCTGTGGAGAGTTATAATCACTCATATTCTGGAGAGAGAGGATTCTGATTGAGAAATGATTAAATATATTTCAGGCAAAGTCAAAGAGGAAGATAGAATTATAAACTTCTTTTTTATTTATTGAAAAAAATCAGAAATTTTTGTCAATACGCAATTTTTCTAATAATGTAAAAATATAAGATAATAAAAACAATAATAATAGCAATGAAATAATAAAATGATAAAATAATAATAAAAAATAATTTATAATGATAAATAATAATAATAAGAATAATAATAAATGATAATAAAATTATACAAAAATAATTTCTACATAATATCAGGAGAATAGATGTTTAGGACAATAAAAAGTACAGGTTTCGAGGATTACAATTGAAGTTGCTTTTAAACTTTTGATATTTTTTTTTTGTTTTAGATTTTTAAATTCAGTTCACCCTAAGCAAGGTTAAAAATACAAAAAAAATCGCTTTACGGAAAGAAAATAGTTCAGCAGTGAATGACGCTCAGGTGTTAAAATGAAAATTTACCAAGAAAAACGCAAAAAGGAATATGCAGGCCGTCCTAATTAAATCGGAATTTACGGAAATGGGCATTTAAAGAGAAATGAGTTAAAGTATTCGAAGGAAGTTATTAAAGGAAAAATGAAAAGAGTAGAGGTCGGGGAGAGGAGAGAGATAGGTAAGCATTTGGTTAATAAATATGAACGGGATAAAGACGGAGAGATAAAGTGAGTTGGAGAGAGAAATAGGAAAAGACGGAAAAAAAATAAAAATATGAACATAAAGAGATAGGAAGGAAGGAGATAAAGAAATACAAATAAAAATATGAACAGAGTAAAAGGAAGAGAGAAAGGGAGAAGGCAGTAAGAGTTAGGAAGGGAGTGGGGAGAGAGAAAAGACAATATAAACGATGTAAAAAGAGATAGTGAGAAGTAGGAAGAGTGAAGAAAGAGACAAAAACATCTAGAGTATTGTGTAAAAAAAAACTAAAAATATGAACATAGTAAGGAGAGAGAGTGGGGGAGGTAGGTAGGTAGGTAGGGTGAGAAAGAGAAAAGATATTAGAGTCTCGTGAAAAATAAAAATAAATAGAGTATGAGGGGAGAAAGTGAAGAGATAAAATATCGTGAATAAGATAAAGTTATGAACAGGGTGAAGAGAAAGAGAGAGAAATAGAAAGGGAGATAATGAGGAAAAACATAAAAAAAAGATAAAAATATGAACGGAAGGATAGAAGTGGAGGTAGGAAGGGTGAGAAAGAAAAAAAGATATTTAGAGCCTCGTTAAGATGAAACCTAGGAAGAGGATATATATATATATATATATATATATATATATATTCGACTCTCCCGTCGAATTCAACGTATGAGGGTCAAGCAGATCAGTTCCCAGGAAACCGACAACAGCACATGAGATTTGATTATAGTGGTGAAGGTTTCGTGCAGGACCATTTACACTTTTTGAAAGGCCGAAATACAGAGACCTGGTGCACTACGTGCCACAAGGTCCCCAAACGACCCTCCGCAGGTTTTGAATTCAGAGTTGTCCTTCTCCTAGACCAGTTGACATCCAAGGCTATAGAACCCAGTCTGTCCTGCCATTTACCCATTGCTGGAGGGAGAAGAAGAGGATTCACACCTTTCCCAAGTGTATTAGCACATAAGTGAATGTAATGGATTCGATTGGAATTCGAACTCGGCTCTCCGATTCCTCAATCCACTGTGCCTTGTATGTATATATATATATATATATATATGGGAGACAGAGAAAAGTGGTATAAAATATCGTAAATAAGATAGTTATGAACAGGGTAGAGAGAAAGAGTGTAGTCAGAAGGGAGATTGTGAGGAGAAAAAAAACACGAGTATTGTGTAAAAATAAAATGATGAAAAGAGGATTAGAGTGAAGATAGATAAAGAGAGAGAAGAGTGAGGGAGGAGAAGAGAAATTAGATATTATAAACAGAGAAAAGAGAGATATGAAGGTAGGTGTAATAGCGAATGAGAAAGCATCATAGTAAAAAACAAAACAAAAAAAACACTCAACAAGCCTTTATTTACATATCTACATTTCAAGAAACAGTAAGTTATTTGTCTGCACGCCTACAAGGCCGAGTTTAAATAAAAGGTCCCACGTGCAACCAGGGTACAATCCAGTCTCTTCGGTACTTCCTCCTTTTGAGGACGCCTCAGGGTAATGACCGTAGCCAACTAAGGTAGAAAGTTTTGTTAAATTCAACCCTAACACTGGACTTAAATGTTAATGCGGGCATCTCAGACCAAAATGCCCAAGAAGCACACATCTCAGTAACATATTTCACAGAACGCCATCTCAGTCCGTATTCGGCACAATGCCTTTTTAATAAAGTTTAAAAAAAAAATAATCCATTTTTTTTCAGAAGTTAATAATAAAAAAACTCTTTCTTTTTATTATGTATGCTTCTTTTTTTCACTAAAACAAAAATTTCTTCCGTCTTTCTTTGCAATCTAAACGGCTCTATTATTTGAGGTTGTAGGGATGCCGAGGGCGATTATATCACTTTTGGTAGTACGAATTCACGAGTCATGTGATGGCTGGTGAGTGATGTCAGCTTGTGAGGTGTCGATCCTTAATTACTGAGTAGACCACGAGGGAGCGAGATATGGGTGTTACGAGACGGGGAAAACCACCTGGCTCCAACATGGGACACAAGAGACACATTCAGTAGAGATTACAAGACCCACTCGATTTTTCAGTTCACACTGCTTGTTTTATCCATATATGTTATAGCTTCTCTGTTGGTTCCAAGCTCATCGGAAGGACCGTTAAGAACATCTCTTCCACATATTTATAAACAAATCCTACAGATGCATGCTGAGATTTCTTTCTAACCAATAAAAATGGACAATTCTCGGTCTTACCCTCCCACATTATATTTTTGTTCTTTTCTGTTTTGAAGTTAGAAATCTTATCCTCTTTATGTGTGAGCACAATTCTTACTTTGTGAATTTCTTGCTTTATTACTGTTGTTTTGCTTAGTTTTGTTTGTTTATTATTATTTGACCTGTTCTTTTTCTTCTATTATTGTTTATTGAGAACTTTATCAATTCCACTGGTTGAGAATTTTGTTAATTAACCATGGCCAATTACTCCACACTATATGTGACAAATAGTGACAGATACAGACATTTTTGTATATAATTTCTTGTATAACGTAAGGGTATAAAATAACTTTGAGAACAATGCGTATTGGACATTCATTTCTTTCAGCCATCCTGGTCTTTCCATCTTGTTAGTATATCACGGATACACTAATGTCTATAATGGGAAATTGGAAACTCAAAAGATTCTAAATACCCCCATTAAGGTAATGGTAGTGGTAATGAATGTAGAAGACAGGAACATACAGAATTATACTTTCACGAGTTTTCGTAGATGTCTTGCTTTGCATTTAATTGTTTATGAAATTTTAGTAAGAAACATAAAATTTCATAAATGCCTTCCAAAAAATAAAAAAATAAAAAAAATATATATAAATGATATAACTAAAATAAACAATTCACTTAACATATTTATTGCAGTGAACAAAACTAGAAATTTATACGAATTGATCCCCCTAAAACAACAAAAGCACCAAAAAATAAACAAAACAAAAACCCAACAGAATACAATATTAATATGGAAGCTAAAACAATCGCTCAAACAGACCTTGACGACCGAATAACATGCATCGTTAAATCACAAGAAATTATCACACTACAAGAGCACAAATAAAATTTCAGAACAAACCCAACATGCAGACTCATAAACCCAGCCATGTGTGAACTTGGTAAAATAAACTAGAAAGAATTAATTCAGAACTAACTTAGAAGTAAAACAGTGAAAAAACACTAAAACAACTATAGACTGGTTCCGCAACCTAAAAAGCAAACAATTTATACAACTAGATATCAAAGATTTCTACCGTTCTATATCGAACCCATACTGGATAAGGCCATTTCTTTAGCACAAGAACGAATAAAAATAAATACAAACGAAATATAAATCATTAAACACTCAAAAGTTTATTTTTATTCGGCAATGAAGATGCGTGGATAAAGAAGGGGCATTTGATGTTACAATGGGGAGCTTTGATGGTTTTAGAAGCTCATAAATATATATTTGCTACGCAAACGAAATACAATAATCAATAAAAATGATATAGGCTTCTACGGGAACGTCTGTCTCATAATCATAAGAAACCGTAACAGCCACAAAGTAAATAAAACCAGAAAAACAATCGTATTTTAAAAAAAAAAAATATGGGATTCGACATAGACATAAAAAAGTAACCTAAAAAAGTAAATTCTCTAGATGTCGCATTCAACCTAAGAAACCTATCAAGCATAGAGTAAATCTAATGACAACGTTATATACACACATCTTTCAACCACCCACTATTCAAGCAGATCCCACAGTCAGTTCATCGCAGGTTATCTGACAATTCTTCCAGTGAAACCATCTTCAATGAAGCCAAGAAAGAATATGAAACAGCCTTAAAAGATTTTCGGTATCACTCACATAAACACCACACAGTACAAAAAAGCCACCGGGAAAGGAAACATTATATGGTTCAACTCACCGTACAACAAAAACGTAAAAAACAAACGTTGGAAAAATATTCATTAAAATCATACACAAACACCTCCATCAAGCACTCTCTACAAGATATTCAACAAAAACAGTAAAAATCAACTACATTTGTACCGAGATGACACAATTAAAAAGCACAATAAGAAAACAACCAAAAAACCACTCACACTAATCAAACCCACGTCTAATTGCAGAGCAAAGAACGAATATCCCGTAAACAGCAATTTCTTACAGAACAATGCAATATACCAAGCCACTGTAAAATCAGCAAATAACTAAGAAAAGTATACATGAGTAACTGAAGGATCCTGGAAACAAAGAAACTACGCACGCACACAAAACATCATTTACAAATATTGAAACCGCAAACAGCACAATGCTTTCTAAACATATCTGAGAGATTAAAAACAAAAACTAATCACGCAAAATATGGAAAATAAGGAAAACAACATCAGCCTACAACAATCTAAAAACTGTAAACTCTGTATGAGGATAAAATAGATATAATTACCTTCCCAAGTCAACACATATTACTAAAAAAACGATAAGAACTCATCTGAAAATGCAGACACGAAAGCAATTTTTACTGCGTTACTTAAAAATCGAAAACTAAAAATAAATAAATTATGAAATAAGATAAAATAAATTAGTAAATTAAATTCATCCAGAGCAATAAATCTGTAAATAAATTATAAGTAAATTAATAAACTACGAACGCACACAAACACAAGTAAACAATAATAACAGCAAACAACGAGTAATAAATTAATAATAAATAATGAATAAAAAAAAGTTAAGCCACACTATAAAATAGCCACAAATCTGCACCCGGATCCAGAATTAGTTCCACTTAATAGCTCCTAGAATACTTCGAAACATAACCGCTACATGCACTCAAATATTTTAGAATAATATAATAAGCCTACCTATAATGCACCACTAACGAGCTTATATAAGTAGTCGAGCTAAAACAAAACCCACATGTCCTGACTATTGTGTTTAAGCATGAAACAGACCGTCGCTGTTCGGTGTTGACTTCAACTCTCTCTCTCTCTCTCTATATATATATATATATTACTTGAAAAGAACTGTAGATATTTTTCCTTAAGAATTCTTGTGACCAACACTTCTTCAGGCGGTTACGTTGGTGTAATTGGAACGAGACACAAAACGATATTCACAAAATCCAAACAGTAAATGAGGAGGGAAAATTTCAGGATACGATTAAAAAATAAACAAATAAAGTATAAAAAGGAAAAGATATTACTCCTTGTTCTCCATGTTGTGGGGCGACAATGCTCCCAAGGTACGTTGGGAAATCTGTTACCTCCATCCTTCTGAAGGGGGTCTGGATATTCCTAGAGTTGATATTCGTCAACGCACACTTCGCATCCCTTTCCTAGAGCGAATGTCTACGCAATCGAATAGTGACGGTGAATTCTGGATGGGAGTCGCCCGTAAGAACTTCCCATCCCTGACAAGTGTGCGCTCGTGTGAGACGGAACGCCCCACCACTCCAAGGAAACTGTCCCTTCTATCGTGAATGTTGGAACGCTCTCAGGTTTTCTTACGGTCGACAGTTGGCCTCTCTACCATCCAGGTGTTGTCCCGGAAGGCATTATATCATGTGCTTGTTCGAGGCTCCGTTCGAGATGATCTGATAGTCGAGATCTGTCTAACAAAGATGGAGTCTCGCTCCATACGGCCCTATACGCCCAGGTTGAAATGCCTCACTAACGATGAGGCATTATTCACCTGGCTGGTGCTGCGAAGGGCGCTATGGGTCGGCAAGAGACTTTTTCCGGTGGAGCTGGAAAACGTTAGACTGCGTTCGCTGTGGTGCGCCGGAGGAAACTCTGAAACACACAACTGCAATTTCGTAGGCCCGCTGTACAAGTTCATTGAAGACACCATAGTTCGCATGCTGCGCGGAAAGTTCTTTGCCCTCGAGGTAAGGTTGAGCACTATGTGTTCCTTTGCTTACTGTGCGTTATGCGAGTCGTAATATAGACGACGCAGTAGAAGGAATTCTATGGGGATGAGAAGTTCACTTCTTCCCAACTGATCTTGTACTTTAAGCATAAGATTAAAGCCAAGATTAGTACGAAAAGCCGGCGGCTCACTCCAGAATTTGGCGCATGGTGGGTGACCCTTTCGCGTCTGTGTCGAGTGAAGGGAGCTTACTTGGAGTGGCATTTTGATGCCGGTTAGACATCAGGATATTAATTTATCTGGATTGATCATTGGCAAACCCACCCAAAATAGGATAGGTTAGGTTTTTTTTCTTATTTTCTTCCGTCAAAGTTAACTTAGCTAGGGTTATATATATAGATGTATGCTTATTTTTATTATCTCCTTGAGTTTAATCCCCCTCCCCTCTCCTGTTAGGTGACAGAGATGTTAGTTCTCTAGTGGATGTAGAATGCTTT